CTGCCGTCATTGTTATTGTTGGTGGTGGTGGTGGTGGTGAAGTTACTGTTATTATTATTATTATTATTATTATTATTATTATTACGTCTGTTGCTACTATTACAACCAATTAATTTTTAAAATAACCGATTAATCGGTATAACGAAACATACTTTGCTATAAAAATTTAATTTATAATTAATTAATAATAAAAATGTAATAATCTGAACCTAGCACTGTAGAAGCTGAATGAGTTTCCGGCACTAAGACCACTCCTGTAACTGGACTCAAGAACTACAGTGAATAATACTGGAAGTATTCGTATAGATACACAACAAATGCATATAGCGTTTTAATTTAAGTTTCGCATCCTGAGTTCAAACAATTGAACAATTAATTGTCCGATTAATCAACGAAAGCAAACAACTGATAATCTAAAAATCGATTGAATAATCGTGACAGTCAGCAGAGCAATTGACGAAGAATATTATTTACTTCTTAATTTGTTTCATTATTAATTTCTTATTTTAAAGATTTTACTTGTTTTGTGTGACACGTTATGAATGGCAGATTCTAACCTGTTCTCCTCTCTCCGCCGCCACAGCTCGTTGCAAAGTGGCGTCGCTTTTGTTTCCTGCCAATACCTTTACGACGTCTGGTGAAGCGTTCTGTGTAAACAGTACAGAGTCATCAAACTGTGTAACATACACTAATGCAGATAAATTAAAGGTGCGAAAGGGAATATGTATGCAAAGACCTTTCTGGTTAGGAAAGAGGTCAGTTGTAAGGGAAGGCTGAGATGTTACTGACCCGTGGAGGATGTAATCTGGTTTGAACTGGCTTACGGAAAATGTGTTTTGTTATGTTAATAAAACTTGATTTCCAAAACATTAAGGAATTTCTTGAACATCTGCTGAAGAAAGATGCTTTACCATGGAGTCATTTAAAACTGGTGATATTTACGTAACGAAAGACTTCATGATTTTCCTTTTCGTCTAATATTGTTAGGACGAGTAGACCTCAGAATTACTGGTTTCTCGGACCTTGTCCATTATCTGATATTCTGAAAACTAGAAAACAACTTTTCGGAAACTGGATCTTTCCATCCTCGGGTGAGCGTGGAGACACCTATTCTGTTGGGTCCCTTACAAAGAGCTAACCTCAATTATTCTCTCTAAGGGACCCAAAAGAGTAGGTGCCTTCCCACTCACCTGAGGTCGGAAACAGATCCAGTTTCCGAAAAGTTGTTTTCTAGTTTTCAGAATACCAGATAATGGACAAAGTCCGAGAAACCAGTAATTCTGAGTGTTATGCACCATCTTCAAAACCCTTTAGGATCTACATAATTAGTCCTGTATCCAGATGGATTCGATGGTGAACATGTAGCACTCAGGGGAAAATGATAACTGGATATAAAACTCTGATTAGAAAGCTGCTGGGGAAGAGACTATATGCGATACGTAGAAATTCTTGAAGAACAGCATTCATTTATTTTTAGCTTATAACGGCCATATCATGCTGAAAACACCGGTTCTTGTCCAATCACCGAAGTTAAGTGACAGGGGGTGTGGTTAGTACTTGGATGGGTGACAGCTTGGGAACACCACATGCTGTTGGAACTTCATTTATTCGCCGACAAGCGGCCGTCGCTCGGTCGGTATAGTTCGCTTGCGAACTACAGCCACGNGACAACTTTACCTTTTTTTTTCCTTGGCACTACAGCCCCAGCGGGCCTAGGCCTACCTCCATGAACTTCTCCGTTCACTTCGGTTTTTCTAGATCTTACACATTCGGTAGGACTCCTTGGGCGGGTGATTAGCTCGTCGCAAGGCCTCTACCTGTATACAAACACAGAAAAACGCACACACACAAACTAAACATCCATGCCCTGAGTAGGATTCGAACCCACGATCCCGGTTTCCAAGCGAGCGAAGACAGTACATGCCTCAGACCGCTCGGCTACCGTGACCGGCGCGGTGTTTGTTTACAGCGCCGAATGGTTGGATGATAATGAATAATTAACTGGAAAGTTTGTGGAAGAAACTGGTCTTGGTCTTATTTCAGCTGGACTCTACTATCCCAGCATTTGCTTGAGGGGACTGTGGAAAAATATGAAAAATCTCTTAGAACAGTCGTCGTCCCAGTCATGAATCCAACCGGACACCTAACACAAGCCAGAAACGGCACTGCTTCAATCAAATTTCTCGATAGAGGAAAGTTGTTAAATTAGATATACGAAGCTAGGGAGGGTGTGAAGACGTGAACTGTACTAGTACTGAGCTGGCTGAGGAAGTGTTCAATGACAGGCTTATGGGAACACAATGATGAACCTTGTGATTCGAGTAGGGAAATTCTTGGGAAGATATACTGAGAGACTTGCAGGGTGAGTAAGCACAATGACGGAGGGACATGCAAAGGGGGGAAGGGATGCAAACAGACCGACTTACTGTGTATAGCATTAGTTCAGAACATACTGAACACTACCGTACCTGCGTAATGCTTAGCTGAACTGAACTAAAGCAACTGTGTTTGTATCTCTACAGTGCAAAATATCATTTCAGCAGTGAAACTCACACTGACCACAATAATACGAGTATTTCGCCTGATGAAGACAGTGACATGGAACTTACACAGCCACTTACATCATTTGCCAGGGGGCACTATTAAGTCAATAAGTCAGTGAACGTATGACGAAAGAATAACCGTGAGGTTTGGTAACTCGGGAAAGTTTCAATACTCATATATACATTCATTTTTGCTCAGATTTGACAGTTACGACACAAGTTGGCATATATTTCTGGTACGGACCTCTTGAATATTTCGAAGCCAGTACGATAAGTGGTTGAAAGAATCCAAACTTGTGACATCATACATGAGCAAGATCCCCATTGCTCCCCGGTAATAAGCCGTCGTTAGCGTTCTGAACCTCTCCTGGCCCGCTGTATCCCTAATCGAAAGAAAAAATAAATAACACATTCATTGTGAAGAAGTTTATATTATTTAACAAGCAGTTCTGTGAAGAACTAATGGCCTACTTTCCTTTTACTGCAATTTGGATGTCTGATATGACAAGCGCCAATCGCAGTAGCCGCGCGGTCTGAGGCATGAACTGTCTTCCCGCGCTCGAACACTGGGATCGTGGGTTCGAATCCCACTCAAGGCATGAATGTGTGTGTGCATTTATTCCGTGATTGTGTTGTCCTGTGTATAGATAACGGCCTTGTGACGGGCTGATCATTCGTCCAAGGATTCCTACCGTCTATGTAAAAAAGATTACGAAACTGAAGAAGAGGTGAGGGCCCAACAAATGGCTGTAGAGTAATAGATGAATGAAAGAAATGATACGACAAGCGGAAAAATACTTTAGTATGTATGCGTAATGAAGTCACAAAATTTGATAAGCTACTACGCTGATATTACTGATAGGAGGGATTTAGAAAGTACGCCGTTGAGATGGCCTCAGCTGGCATGATGTATATTGTATATAAAGATTTGTGATGATCAATTATGGCATTCAAGTAATAGTATGGTCATTGCCTCAACAATTTTGAGAGACGGCAGTTTTGGTATTACGAACCGGCGGAAATCACGATTATGCCATTGAGACGGCCTCGGGTGGTAGGATAAACACGCCAAGTTTCACGAAGTTCGGTTCGGTAGTTCAAAAGTTGTTAGGGAATAATACGTTGTGCGTTCAAGGTCTAAGGTCTCCGATTTTTTCTCACACAATAATCATACAAAAGGTTTGAAACTTCTATCACTTTTCAACGTAATCTCGCTGCAGCCGTACACATTTTTCACAACGTCGACGCCATGATTCCATGGCCGCTGCGAACGCTTCTGTAGGAGTCTGTTTTGACCATTGGAAAATTGCTGATGCAATAGCGGATTGAAAAACGGCATCCATGTCTCATCCATTGTCACAGTTGATGAAAAGAAAGTCCAATTCATGCCTTTATCACGTGTCAACATCGCCTGGCAAATTGCCATGCGTGCAGCCTTGTGGTCATCCGCCAGCATTCGTGGCACCCACCTGGAGGACACTTTCCGCATTCGCAGGTCTTCATGCAGGATTTTGTGCGCAGATCCCACGGAAATACCAACTTTTGAGGCGATGTTTTCCACACTCAATCGGCGATCCTCCAAAACAGCTTTCTCAACTTGCTCGACCATGTTGTCAGACCGGCTGGTGCGAGGCCGAGATTGTTTTGGTTCGTTGTCACACGACGTTCGGCCTTCTTTGAACTGTCGCGCCCACGAACGCACATATTTCACATTCATGACACAATCACCACACGTCTCACTCAACTGGCGATGAATTTCAATGGGTGTCGCACCACGCAAGTGGAGAAAACGAATGATTACTGGCTGTTCTTGTAACGAAAACGTCGCCATTTTAAGTATCAAAAACACTCCTCACTCTCGCCGCTACCACTAGAGTTCTGTGTGCCCTAGAAAGCTGCCATATCTGTCACGCATTCATAAAGAGTGCACACGTATTTTAAACTAAACCGCAAATGTCTTTCTGCTCCCAGTCCTGAGAAAAAAAGTCGGAGACCTTAGAACTTGAACGCCTCTCGTACATATATAGAGGCACACACACATACACACACCCAGCAAGGTGCTCTCATACGCCTGCTATTTAGCCTAAAACCTCCGTGGCCTGTAGTCCGCAAGCGAACTATACCGACCGAGCGACCGTCGCTTGTCAGCGAAGTTAGTGCTAGCGGGTAGAGGGTGTCGCGTGGTGAACCTCGTTCCAGACCCACTACTTCTCATAATAGCTTGTAGCACCGGGAGTCGAACCCGGGACCTCTGGATCTGTAGCCAGGAACTCTGGCCACTAGACCACAGAGGCGGTCCTGCTACTTAGCATGATTTCCTTACTTTGAAAAGATAAAAGAAGGCTTATGAATCACTTTGCTCTCTGCGTGTCTGCCTTCTGAGTGGTCTGCAAAGAAAATATCGTCTCCGACAGCTGGACCCGTTTTATATGGTGTACATGTGGTATCAAAGGAAAGCAGGCGATTAGTTTTCCGTGATCAGCATGAAAGAAAAATATTACACGATCTACAAGAAGAATAGACTGTTACTGGCCAGCCAAAATGTTAATCCAAATCACAAAGACAAACTAAACCTTTCCAACTGTCCAAACTGGCAACCCCATGAAGGCAACCAGAAATGTATTTTAATCTGCTTTTAGGCCTATATCAGCAAGAATTTGTAGAGAAAACTTAGGGCACTTTTAAGTACAATACTATTTCGGAAATCCTCTGCAGTAACTGCGCAAACCCATGCGAAACCCGAGCGAGGATAACACTGGAGAAACAACGGAACGCCCCCCCCCCCAAAAAAAAACAGTAGAAAGTAAAAACGGATGTTCCCAGAACAGCGAAAATGGGAATTTTGAAATTTTAAACCCGACTCTGTATAAAGTTACGTATTTCCAATGTAGATAAAAGTCTGTGTGACAACGCAAGCTTCATTGCCTAGCAACCGCTGTTTACTCGTCGTTGCTAAGCAATGAAGCTTGCGTTGTCACACTTGCTTGAATGTGGGCAGTTCCCACAAGTTCTTATTTGAATTCAGAGATGTTTTAATTTATTAGAAGGTCTCTCTTAATTCAAAGGGATGCACCTCATCCATTACTATAGCTGCTAAGCCGAATAATATTCTTTCAGAATGACTACTTCATGAATAAATATGGTATTAGAGTTCGGGTTTCGGGCCAACTTACCATATTTGTAATTTTATAGGCGTCCCATCTAAGTTGACTATTTTCTGCTTGAAATCAATGCCTGAAAGAGAAGGACACGTGACAGTGGTGAATAAATGCATAATCATAAACAGTACGGATACTTGATAAGTAATTATAGACAGGCAATCATTTTCAGGATACAAAGCGGCCGATAAAACACCTACTGCCCAGACGAGACCACGGAATATTTCTCTGCTATAAACAGTGAAAACGTGTGTTATTGGGAGCATAAATAAATTATTATCATTATTCGGTTAATCTTATTATCAATTTTTAAACTATTATATTTCTCTATGTTCAGCTACAGCGGGAGTAATCATGTGTTTCGTTGCTGATCTCAGAATTTCTTCCACAAACAGCAATTCTATAAATACGCTTTAGCTCCACGGAAATAGGTCCCAGCACCTATTGGGTAGGAGGATGGGTGATCTTCGTAACTGCTCCAGAAGTGATGCCAAGGAGAAAAATACCTGCCCTTGCCGGGAATCCAACCCTAGTCATCAAGCTGGTAGTATAATCGGTATATTGATAGGGCCTATCGGTTCTTCGCTGCAGTAACATTAGTTGTTAAAATAGTTGGCTCCTGGATTAGAAACAGAATTTTAGAACACGTGAGATATAGAAGTTCCCACAACGGAATTTTCAAGTTTAGTGAAAATTTTATTTGATAGTGTTAATGCTTTTCTCTGACTACATTGAAGTTCTCTTGCTAAATTCGATCAGAAATTTTATGAAAAAGTGAAACGTAAAGTTATAGGAGGCTTTGTGCCTTCTCGGACCTTGGCACTAAATGACCGCAGAGTTCAATCTGGTGTTCCGACCAACATCATTCTTATTGACGGCTGACTGGATCGGTCACACCGTAATTGTGTGTCTGGAACCAGACTCAAGTTTGTAGACAACGCCGTACTGTGAACGGCAGCCATTATTTTTATCTCAGGGCTGCCTCCAATTAGGGTCCATAACGTAATGAAGATTTTTTTAAGTCTGCAGTCTTCTGGAATGTGGTGTCATGTAGTGTGGCAGATAGGCACCCTGAAGATGGAGGCTGTAGGTTTCTCCGGAACGTCGGTTCATATCTACACTACACTGCGTCCCCAGCCTGGAAGGCCGTAGTCTTACAATTTACCGCATTGAGAATCTCAAATCTCATACTGGACTTTATTTAATCGTCTGATGTTCGAGATGAGAGCAAAAATTTTGTACGGTTGTAGTCTGAAACGATTAATATAACTTAGCTTACTTCTTAATTAGAAAAAAAATCTATATTTTGTCCATGAAGTAATTTGTTATGGATGCACTTTATGAGAAAGAAACGACAAAGGACACAATCTAAAGGAACTGAATTTTACTTTGATTGAACTCGCAAGAACCTGGGGAGGGGGNAAACCTGGGGGGGGGGGAAGAGAACAGAAACAAAGAAATATAAGCGTGCACTTCTGAAACGATTACGACAAAATTGTCACAAATTTTATGAAGGTCAAATATGCAGAAAAAGAACTCCAGCCTATAGCGAGAAAGGTCAGGGATTCCATCAAAAGGATTCAACAATCAAACGACATGTAATAATTATACCTAGAATGTCATCACTCACCAATAGTCGATATGTACGTATCGTAGTATCTCTCGTCACAGTATCGATGTACAATACATGTTTTTCCAACATTTGAATCGCCAAGAACAAGAACTTTGTACGTCGCAGCGAAATCTAGCGCCATCTTGAATGGTCTGCTGTATGAACGAATGTACACTTGATATACGTAAGACCACACACCCAAAGTATGGAGGACTAATGCCATTTGCTCACATGTGCCAGACCCAAATCGATTGTTCGAAGGCGACTGCGCACACCCAGCCACCTGTAACCCTTGGTAAGACCAGCAGCCAGCCAGCTTGGCGCCATTAACCAAAGATATAGACTGTTTAAACACATCCTGAACACAAGTGTTCTTTATAAAAACCATGCTCCGGGTATTGGCATAATTGGCTTCATATAATAGTGGGCAGCTCAAGTTTCTTCACTGAACCGAGCACAGAAATTGACTACAAGAACAGAGCCAGAATGATTCTGTCTTGTACCACACAAAGTAAACTGCAATGGAGTATAACCAGAAGCTATGCCTCAGCATTTGGAGGCAAGGTAGGAAGCGACATATTCTTGCATCCTCCAGAAGTTGCATGCATTTTAAATTTGTATCGAACCTCAATTGAACGGAGCATATCCATACCTAAATAAATTATTACATACACGTAAGTTCGCATAAATTTGATTGCTTTCGACTGCGGAAATTTTGATATAAGGTATCATGATCGTATGCATATAATTACAGACTCAATAAAAACACCTGCAATCTTATAGTTTTTTCTAAACTACAAAAGAAACTAACCTTCTATTCGAGTTGGTACAACCAACACTTGCCTTGTCTGAATGATGAATACATTCGCAATGAAAACATTGGCGTGAGTTAACACATAATTAAAGGTAATGTTGTCCCTGTGCTTAACTAATTAAGCAATACGCCATGAAGACGTATGGGGGAGTGGATATATAGATCCACATTCTCTTGACTTCGGTACTTTTCCGCCGGGGAAAGAGCCCCAGGTATCCATTGGATAGGAAGTTGGGTGGACCCCAGTGCCGGTCTGGAGAACATGGAGAAGAGAAAATTCTTGACCCTACCGGGACTCGAACTCCGACCCCTTAGTCGTCAAGGCCGTAGCCAGTCGCTATACCGACCACGCTATTCCGTCTCCCGGCACTTAAATAACGACAGCAAAAACAACGCGAAGCAAAATATGTGTATGAGTCTTTTAATCATTAACACCTAAAACCAGCAGCTTCATAGGTAATGAAAATGATACACGCTTTCATAAAGCCTTCATTGTGTGCCAAATTATCCTTGATGTTCATTTATTGGAGATACAAATCGATCATTTCATATAGACAAAGCAAATTTATTGCAATAGTTGCGAACTTAATTACATTAGTTAGAGTCAGAAAGGCCGTGCCATAGCTCAAGCGGTTAGTCGCTGGCTTCCCACCGTGGTGGCCCGGGTTCGATCCAGGGTCTAGTCAAGTGGAATTTGTGGTGAACAAAGTGGCGCTGGGGCGGGTTTCCACCGAGCACTTCGGTTTCCCCTGACAATCTTCATTCCACCAAATTCTCCATCATCATAATCACCGGGGGCAGGCTACAATAGGCCACTCAGTGTCCGCCGTGCGGAGCGGACACAGTTGGACTCCACCCCCCACTAAGAGAATTAAAAAAAAATAAAGCCAGAAAACATTTCCCCTGCATGACGTTACATATCCGCGATATTGTAAATTGTTCCAAACAAACTTTTAGATCTTAATGACGCAAGCCATATGTTTTATATCTGATATTTTTAATAGAAATGAGTACCAGGAATCTTCCTGGAGGGTAAGGTGCGGCCGGCTCATAAGGCTGACAACCTTACCGCAATCTTTGAGCCGATTGTCTGGAAGATGTGGGAGCCTCGACTTCCCACAACCCTATGGGTCGCCACGGTCTGTTACAGAGATAGTTTTACAATTGTTTTGTATGCTGAAGCCTTCTTTTTTATATTTATGTACTGTGGTCTAGTGATCAGAGTTCCTGTCTACAGATCCAGAGAACCCGGATTCTATTCCCGGCGCTACCAGATTTTATGAGAAGTAGTTGATCTGGAGCGGAGGCCACTGAGCCTCGTGAGGATAATTGAGTAGCTGTTTCAAGGAAAAAGCGGCTCCGGTCTAGAAAACCGAGATTAACGACCGTAGGGATCTTTTTTTTTTGTTGTAGAAAAAATATTAGTTACTATAGGATTCTGACGATGGTGTATAACACACTGATATGTTGGGTTTTTGGACTTTATCCATCGTCCTGGTTTTTTTAAGATAACAAATAAAAACACGACGTTTCGGAAACTGGATCTGTTTCCGTCCTCAGCTGAAGGAATACACATATTCAGTGCAATTACTTCTCTTACATTTCTTACATACGAGTATCTACCTTATTATTACAAGTTGCAGATCTTAAAACCCAGCGACAAAAGAAAGGCAAAGAAGAACGTCAGAGTTTTTGTCAACACACCAAGAGGGACAGAGGAGAAAGCTACTTTGAAAGGTACTACAAGAATGGCTCGTCTCCGTGGTTCCATAAGATAAAAATGAACCGCCGTGCCTTCGTGTCAATAAACCGTATGAGAGCAGGGAACATCAGTCTTAAAGTAAGCCTAAACCAGATTTAATGCTGTGTCCACGGCCGAATGTGAATGTGGTGATGGGCTTCAAATGGAGGAACATGTCTTCTGGGACTGTAAACTGTGTGAGGACCAAAGGGTAACAATGATGGACATTCTGTCTGAGAACAGCAAAAAAGAATACCCAAAGTCAGTTACAGAGCTCTTAAGGCTAGAAGAAAAAATATTTTTGCAAGGCGTCTGTTACTTCATAAACAGCATTCCTATATTTATATAATCTTTGAGAGACGGGGTATTTAAATTGTGGTAGTTGTAGCAGGTCGGAATTTATTTAAATGCCCGCCGCTCTAGAGGATTAAATTTGTGGTAATGTTACTAAAAATGCTGTAACTTACACAATTTTTGTGGTAAACGAACGAAATTAACGTTGCTTTTATCTAGAAAGAATATAGAATCAGACATTGTAACTGAAAGATTTTAAAATCTGTAAAAATTCTTACATTGATTCAATTTTCTTTTTTTCTTTAACTTTGAGCGTTTGCCTACAATTCTGCTTTAACCTCATGCACAATACGTTTCAGCAGTATAAATGTTGGCTCCTGGTTTATCAGTTAGAGGGAAGGGAAGTTTATATTTGTTTCTGCTGCATCATATTCTCAGATTACAGACGTCGTCGGTTAGCATACGTAGTAAATTCTTGGGACGTTACATCAGAAGGCAGTTGTGTGATACAGATTCGGACTGCGGTACAGATGATTTTGATTGTGGTCACGACGGAAGCTCCGAAATTGAAGTCGACGAAGAACCATTATCTTCGTTGACAACCTGGGGACCACCACACCAGCATGACAGGAGAGGTGCGAATAATTTTTCCGGTGGAGCAGTGGGGATAAATCTCAACGAAGCTCCACACGTAAATAAGGTTTCCGTCCCAATCTGCGTTTTCATGCTTTACTTCGCAGGAGTTGTCCAGCTGCTGGTGGAAGAGACTAACAGATATTATCACCAGGACCTAGAAAGACTTGAAGACGGACCTTCTCCGTGCCCTGATGTAACCGACAACCGACTCCAAGATGTTTCTGTTTCTAGGAATCATCATCCAAATGGGACATAATATAAGGGACAGACTAAAGGACTAGTGGTCAACTGCTGAGCAATTTTGCATGCCTTTCTACAGCAACACAATGAAACGCGACCGTTTTCTTCACCTTCTACGTTTTATTCATTTTGCAGATAACAATACAGAAATTGACAGGAATGCCGACAATTATGACCGACTGGAAAATTCGGACCACCTTCGATACTCTAAATGACGCATATCAAATATATTATAATCCTTCTGTTGATGAAATAATTGTCAAATTCAAAGGGAGGGTGGTTTTTAGACAGCACGATTCTGAACAGTTTCATCATGTTGTCATGCTGTGGTGCGAAATTGTCACATTGAGACTTCCGTCTCGTCCTTGTGCGAAATATGCTGGAACATGCTGCAAGGGGGTTATCTCGCCCGCAACGGCCCATAGGTCGCCTCCTGCTCTGTCATCTACAACATGTCGATTAGAGGAAGCCAACCGACATCGCTGGCCAACTTCCTCAACCACGAGACTGAGCTGTCGTGTGTGCTCTTCACGTGGAAAGAGGAGAAATATCCGAACAAAACGCATAAAACGCGACGTTGGACTCTGCATTTTCGGGTGATTCCAGGAGTACCACACGAAGGCTAGTTTCAGTTAGGTGATGCAGGAGTGAAGCCTGTTTACTTATCAAGCTGATGCCGAAAAAGAATATAAGTAAAACAAAGATTTCTATCTTAAAATTAGTTTTTCAAAACACTGTACACACGCGTGGACTACACATTCCATATGGCGCACTTCGGCCACGATGACTACATTTTAAATGTCCCATACGGCGTCTAGGATCTACATAGACATCCATTCAGCTGTTACTTCATGTCCGGCACCGAACAATTGAATTTCACCTATCAAAAACTGCCTTCTTTATGAACCGTGGGCATGAATACTACTTCTTATTAATTAACATGTGCAATTAAGTTTTCAAATGTCCGCCTCTGTGGTCTAGTGGTCGACGTTCCTGGCTACAGATCCAGAGATCCCGGGTTCGATTCCCGGCTCTAACAGATTTTCTGAGAAGTAGTGGGTCTGGAACGGGGTCCCTCAGCCTCGCGAAAATAATTGAGGAGCTATTTCAAGCAAATAGCGGCTCTGGTCTAGAAAACAGAAATTAACGGTCGTGGGGATTCGTTGCGCTGACCACGCGACACCCTTTATCCGCTAAATTTCGCACTAACTTCTCTGACAAGCGAAGGTCGCTTGGTCGGTATAGTTCGCTTGCGGACTAAAACCACGGAATTTGTTTGTTTCTTTGTAATAAAGTTTTAAAGTTAAGTTAAGTTAAAAGTTTTCTCTATTGAAGCTATGATCGTTAATTTAAATAATTAATATCAGAAACAGGAGTGGATTCAGTATAGTACCGAACCGCTCACGATGATGACCACAGTCCTCAAATGACCCAAGTAGTTACACTGTCCGGTGTCAGGACCAATGTAACGGATGTGACGGACCGGACTTATTCTTGTGAAACAGTTGG